CACTTCCCTGTCTATTGCCATACCATATCGGTCTAACTCAGTCTGAAAAGGATACATTCAATGATCCTGCCTCTGTTCTGCCACGAGAATTCAGCATGTCCTCTAAAAGGACAGATATTTCCTCATCTCTATCTTACTTTTAAACTGTGTCTCCTAATTGTAGTCGCTCCCATAAGAGAGCCATTTCCTAATTATTTGGTGTACTTAAATGCTAACTTGTGATTCATATACCAGGACAGCCAGATTCCTCTACTTCTCCATTTAAATAATATGCTGCTTTTCTGTTCATTCTGCCAGAAGTGGACAGGTTCACATTTTCCCACATTATATTCCCTGTGCCATTCTATTTATCCCACTGACCTAACCTATCCTTTTGCAGACGACTTTATGTGCCCTCCACAACTTGCTGTCTTGCTTATCTGTGTCATCAGCATATCTAGCAACCATACCTTTGATCCCTTCATCCATATATTTGATTATAGATTTTAAAAAGCTGAGGCCCTGAACTGATCCTGTGCAACATCACTAGTTACAGCTTGCCAAAAACCTCTGCTTCCCATTAGCTTAAACAAATCCTCTCTGTATGCCAGTATGTTGTGCCCTCTACCATGAGTTCATATTCTGTGGTGCAACCTTTTTGTGACACCTTCCCATTGGCCTTTGGAAATTGAACAATACCACCCTTACAGTTCCCCTTTTTCCACATTCTTTGTTATACCTGAAAGAACTAGTCAAACATTATGTATCCTTTTCATAAAAGAGTCTGACTGTATTAAATTTTTTTAAAGACTGTGTTGTAAGCACATTATGTTACCTGGTCTATAGTTTCCAGCTTTCTGTTTCCCTCCTTTTCGTCAATGCAATAGTTAATTCGCGATTTTCCATTTGGAGACTGATATAATTTTCAAAATTCCTCATTCACAATCAAAGTTTCTGTTATCTCAGCAGCCACTTCTTTTAAAACCCTTGGATAAAGTCTATTGGAACCTGGTGACTTGTTCACTTTAAGTTTGAGCAATTTTCGTAGTACTCTGTCCATGGTGAGTGTAATTACTTTAAGTTCCTCTCCTCCTTCCACCTTTTTGAGCAGTATTTCTGGAATGTTGTTTGTCTGTCTTAGTGAAAACAGACACACAACAGCTTTTCAGTGCTTCAGTAATTGTTTTATTTCCCATTATTAGTGCCTCAAATACACACTCTTGAAGTTTCACTTTTTTCCTTTCAAAATAACTGTAAAAAATCCTGCTCCCTATTTTTATATTTCTAGCTTTTTCTCATACAATGCTCACTCCTTAAAAAGACAGTAGTCGAAGTTTTTCATCTTCCACTCATGAAGACAATTTTCAAGAATTGCCAAGTAAATGGAAAACAATTTCTATTGTATGTGAGGAGAGTACGTATCAATTGGCAATCAGCATCCTCTTTCCTAATGCTCTGGCATTATTGGCAGAATTCTATAGAGGTCTAAGCGATGTCAGCAATGGTGGGATTATTAGCAGAATCAAATGAAAAGTCCACCAAGATTTATCTCGATGCCTGGACCATCTCACTAGGTGACAACGAGCCGCAAATTAAGGAGGCTTATAGTCAATTAAAAGCCTTATTAATATTGCAACTTTTCTCAATGACATTTGGCTTCCTATCTTAACAAATGTGCCAAATAAGCTGATTGTTACGAATTATCGACATGGAAGTCAGAGTGGGTACCTAGCAGCAACTTCTTGTTGCTTGCTGTAGAAGATCGCCATGTTTTAATAAGGTTCCCCATGGGAGACTGATAGCAAAGATAAGAGCTTATGGGATCCAAGGAAATTTGGCTGAGTGGCTGGAAGTGTTTACGTGATTGGAAGCCTATGTCCAGTGGAGTTCCACAGAGATCAGTCTTGGGCGGTTGCTGTTTGTGGTATATTTAAGCAATTTGGACTTGAATGTAGGAGGGTTGATCAGTAAGTTCGCAGATTTTACAAAACTTGGTGAGGTGTTAAATAGTGAAGGATAGCATTAGATTACAGGAGGATAAAGATGGGTTGGTCAGATGGGTTGATCAGTAGCAATTAGAATGAAAACTAGAAAAGTGTGAGGTGATCTACTTGTGCAGGACAGACAAGGCAAGGAAACACACAATGAACGGTAGGACCCTGGGAAGAACAGAGGATCAGAGGAACTTTGATATGCATGTTCATTGTTCCCTTAAAGTAGCAGGACAGCTAGATAAAGTGGTTAGCAAGGTATACGGGATATTTGCCTTTATTGGCAGAGGCATAGAGTTTAAGAGCAGGAAGATTATGATAGAACTGTATAAAATGTTGGTTCGGCCACATCTGTTGTATGCAGTTCTGGAATCCATATTCTAGATGGATGTGATTGCACCGGAGAGGGTGCACAGGAGATTTACCGGGACGTTGCCTGGGCTGGAGAGTTTTAGTTACAAAAAGAGATTGGATTGACTGGGTTGTTTTCTTTGCAGTAGAGAAGACTGAGGGAGGCATGATTTGAGATGTGCAATATTATCAGGTGCATAGACAGGGTAGGCAGAAACCTTTTCCCGTATTGGACAATTCAATGATTGTAGCGTAGATTTAAGGTAACGGGCAGGAGGTTTAGAGGAGATGTGAGGATAATTTTTTTTTGCACCCAGAGAATGGTGGGAATCTGGAACTCATTGCCTGTAAGAGTGGTAGAGGCGTATTTATGAAGTACTTAGATGTGCACCTGCGCAGCCAAGACATACAAGGCCAGTGCTGGAAAATGGGAATAGAATAGTTAAGTGGTTGTTTTAGACTGTGTAAACTTAATGGGCTGAAGGGCATTTTTCTGTGCTGTAGACCTCTATGGCCAGGTGACAACATCTTAGGGCACATTTTTCAGGCATTGCACCCCTGTCCATAGACATAAGGATCTAGCATAAGCCAGCCTCTAAGAACTCTCACGGCCCATCTCTGATCCACCTACAGAAGATTCTGCACCCCATTAACCTCCAGATTCAACACATCATTTTCAGTCACCTGCAATCTGACCCCACTACGAAGGACATATTTCCCTCCCCACCCATTATCGGCCTTCTGGAGGGACCGCACTCTCAGTGACTCCCTTGTCCGCTCCACACTCCCCACTAGCCCCACCACCCCTGGCACCTTTCCCTGCAACTGCAGGAGGTGCTACACCTGCCCCTACACCTCCCCACCCTCCCCACTCACCTCCATCCCAGGCCCCAAAAAAACCTTCCACGTTAAACATGTTCACCTGCACATCCGCTAATGTGGTCTATTGTATCCACTGTTCCTGATGTGGCCTCCTCTACATCGGGGAAACCAAGCAGAGGCTTGGAGACCACTTTGTGGAACACCTACGCTCGGTTCATGACAAACGGCAGCACCTCCCAGTTGTGAACCACTTCAGCTTTCCTTCCCACTCCTCGGACGACATGTCCATCCTGGGCCTCCTCCAGTGACACCACGATGCCACCCGGAAACTGGACGAACAGCACCTCATATTCCGCCTTGGAAGCTTACAACCCAATGGTCTCAATGTGGACTTTACTAGCTTCAAAATCTCCCCCACCCCCAACCTCATCCCAAGACCAGCCCCCCCCTTTTATCCCGCCTTCTTGACCTGTCAGTCTTCTCTCCCACCTATCCGCCCCTCCCTCCTCATTGACCAATCCCCATCCCCACTTCCTACCTACACTCACCTTTACCAGCTTCATCCCTGCTTCCTTGACCTGTCCGTCTTCTCTCCCACCTATCCGCTCCACTATCAACCTGCTATCACCGTCCCCTCTCTCTATTTATTTCAGAGCTCCCTTCCCCGACCCCATTTCTGAAGAAGTGTCTGACCCAAAACGTCAGCTTTCCTGCTCCTCTGATGCTGCCCGGCCTGCTGTGTTCCTCCAGCTCCACACCTTGTTATTTCATTATTTAGTTGTTAAGCCCTGTAAGTGGACTGGAATGGATTATCTAGAACAGGAAGTTACTCCCTGGCCTGTGTTCAATAATAAGACTGAACTAGCACAGCATTTGCGGTTAGGAAATGGTACAGTTTGCCTCTGTATCCTCAGGCAAGCAAGGAAGTATTTGTGTCTCATCAACACCCACACACATGGGATTAGAGTGAAAATGTACAAAACTGGGAGAAAAGCAAAAAATGGAAAAATGTTGGAAATTGTCAGTGTATTTAAAGAGAAAAAAGATGAGATACTGTACCATATAGTGGTTAAGTATGATAAGGACCCCAATCATGCAATTGTTTACTACAGTAGGCACTAGAATTTAAATCCAATGCAAATAGAATGGACTACAGTGCAGAGAAGCAATTTCCTTGAATGATTTCTATGGGGAAGGTATAAGGAGTGTGCTCCCATTTGTCCTTTTTGCAGCATATGGAGCTGGTGTGTACAGATAGGCTTTTTCTGTTTCTATTATTCACTTTGGTATCCAGAATTTGCAGTTTTTTTTCTTTATTGTTTACCATTGCTGTAAACCACTGGCAATTATTTCATTAAATGCATTATAAAATGACAGGTAGCACTCGGTTCTCAGTATCTCAGCTGCTAAGTCACTGGCCAGTGTGGGCGTTGTGACCCATACAAACTAGAAGATTTAAGGATACTGTGTAAGCTGATCTCAGTTAAGGTGGGATTGGAGGGATAGAATGGGGCTAGACGGGTGGTACACTTTGAGCTCAGCTTCAGGGTAAGGATCATTGTGGTTCTCATTTTGCACTTTTACTCAGTGAGGTGAAGGTTTGGTTTAAGACAGCAATCTGGTCTGGGTGTATTGCTGATATTGTCGCATGTAAAGAGCTGAGATTATATCCCATATTGAATCAGTAACTTTATGCCCTTTCCAAAGTATAATTTGTGACTCTGAGATTCCATTTTTATTTGTAAACCATCTGGCAGCATTAATGGGTAATGTTGTTTTCTGTTGGAGACAATCTCTTCAAGAGCAGTTTAAACCACAAAATCAAATCACTGTTTACCTTGACAGCTGTAAATCTAGATGGCCTTCATTATCGTCGCAGGTATCTGTGCTTGTCTGTATTTCTTCTTTTTGTGTTTCATGGTGTTCCAGGTCTTCCGAAATATAAGTGGCAAACAATGTTCACTCCCAGCCATGTCCAAAGCAAGGAGACTACACTATGAGGTAAAAATGAAGACTGTACAGTGCAATATTGAATTTTACAGCACAGAAAGAGTTTGGACCATTTGTGTTGCATGAACCCTGAAAGAGGGATCCATTTACTTTTACTCTCCATGCCCTTTAGTTAATTTTTTATTTCCAAATATTTATTCATTTCCCTTTTTCAAAAGCAGCATGAACTCAATATTCTATTCATGCATCGTACTTAACAGTTCTGTGCTATTTGAAACAGTTCTAATTTTTCTCTTATTGAACAATCTTAACCTGGTATCCTCCAATGACTGATCAAAGAATATATATTTTTTAGCAAAGCCCTTCACTCTTCTGAATATTTCCATTAATCTCTTCTGCTTTAGTTAAAATGTCATTTCCCGCTCCTTGCTCATCACTTATATCTTAATAAATCTGCCCTGCAACTCCTCCATAGCTTTCATATCTTCTAAAGTAGAATGCATCAAACTGGAGACCATTTTCTCAAGGTAGGCAAACCGATAATTTTGTAGAGTCTAGTTTTACTTCCTTCTATTTGTACTCTAGCCTGTTTTTATATAATACTCTAATCCTAAATGCACTTTTAATCCTCCTAATGCGTAGTTTTGTTTTTCCATTTGAAGCCCACAACTTCTCTTCTTATACACTTTCCATATTTTAGCATGTAACGTTCCCTTCTCCTAAAATGTAAGATCACACAGTTTGTGAAATTTCACTTGCCAGCTACCCTCCCACTCTACAAATTGCATTTAGTTGCAAACATTGATGCAGTACCTTCTACAGCCAAGTCCATAACTTTTTTTTTTTAGTAGTGGTTGTAACATTGGTCCCTGGGTATATCATGGATTATATGCCTCATTCATGGAAGGCCAGTCCATCTTAACACTGTCGCATTAATTTTATCCAGTTCATGGCACCTTCACAAATAGATGCCTTTTGAAAAAATAATCCTATGGTACTGCAATTCCTTTCCCAGTACGTGTTCTTTATTCTCTGAGAAAACACAAATAAATTTGTCAGGCATGATCTTTTTATAAATCTGTATATTTAATCGAGATCTAGGGGTTTTCTAGGGGCTTCAATTTAATGCTTCAGTATGAATCCTAGAAATGTTGTCTGGTCTGTAGCTCCTTAGTGACTCTTTTATCTCTTGTACAAATGTGTTATATCGCCAGCCCCACTTTATCTCTGTTACAGATTTATTTGGCATGGATTTCTCATCTTGTTCTCTTACCCCAACTCTGGAATGAATCCAGACCCCAAATAAATTATGAAGGAATGGTTTTGAACCTACAACTTATCTTCATTAAGATATTTGAATGATGTTGGTATGGTTACCAATGACACCATGGTTGGGCTACCCTGCTAAAACTGCATTCAGTATTGATTCAATGTTGGAGACAGTGAGGACTGCAGATGCTGGAAGCTACAGTCAATAAATGTGGAGCTGGAAAAGCATAGATGATCAGACAACATCCGAGGAGCAGGAAAATCAACGTTTCAGGCCAAAACCATTCATCAGGACTGGGAAGGGGGAGGGGAGCCCAGAAATAAATAAAGGGAGGGGGGTGGGGCTTGGTGAAGGGTTGGTGGGATGCAGGTAGGAGTCTATTGTGGTTGGTCAGTGGGAAGGGTGGAGTGGAGAGGTGAGAAGGAAGATAGACAGGTTGGGAGTGTAGAGATTTTGAAGCTGGTGATGCAGGTAGAGGGTCATTCTCCGCTACGTTGACTGTATCGAAGCTGCCTCATGCTCCCGTGAAGAGCTCGAACACTTTAGCCAACACCTTCCACCATGCCCTCAAATTCACCTGGACTATTTCCGACACCTCCTTCCCCTTCCTGGACCTCTCCGTCTCCATCTCTGGTAATCGATTCACCGGCGACATCCATTTCAAACCCACTGACTCCCACAATTACCTCGACTACACCTCCTGTCACCCACACCCCTGCAAAAATTCTATCCCATACTCTCAACTCCTCCACCTCTGCCTATCTGCTCCCAGGATGAGGTGTTCTACTCTAGGACTTCACAGATATCCTCCTACTTTAGAGATCATAGTTTCCCCTCCTCTGTTATTAAGGATGTCCTTAACTGCAGCTCCCCAATTTCTCGCGCTTCTGCTCTCAAACCCTCTCTCCACCCCAACAACAATAAGGATAGAGTCTCCTTGGTCCTCACATATCACCCCACCAAACTCCGAATAGATCACGTCATCCTGCAACATTTCTGCCATCTACAATCAGACCCCACCACCAAAAACATCTTTCCCTCCCCACCCCTCTCTGCCTTCCGCAGGCACCATTCACTCCCTCATCAGCTCCACATGCCCCACCAGCCCCTCCACCACACCGGGACCTTTCCCCTCAACTGCACGAGGTTCTACACCTGCCCCAACATCTCCCCTCCGTCCAAAGCCCCAAACAATCCTACTAAATCCAGCAGAAACTCACCTGCACTTCATCTATCCTCATCTACTGTATCTGTTGCTCCCGATGCGGTCTCCTCTATATCGGGAGACCAGAAGCTGACTCGGGTACCGGTTTGCGGAGCTTCTGCACTCTACAGGCACCAACCAACCCGACCTTCCAATTGCCATCCACTTTAACGTCCCCTCCCTCTCACCTGGTGACATGTCAATCCTTGGCCTTCTGCTCTGTCAGACTGAGGCCAAATGTAAACTGGAGGAACAACACCTCATATTTCACCTTGGGACCTTACAGTCCAATGGCCTGACTGTTGACTTCACCAGCTTCAAAATCTCTCCTTCCCCAACTTGTCCATCTTCCAACTCACCTATCCACTCCACCCTTCCCACTGACCAACCACGTTAACCCCCTACCTCCATCCACCTATCTCCATTCCACCAACCCTCCCCCAGCCCCATCGCACTCCTTCTGTTTCTGGGCTCCCCTCCCCCTCCCCAATCCTGACTAAAGGATTTTGGATCGAAATGTTGACTTTCCTGCTCTTCAGATGCTTTCTGACCGGCTGTGCTTTTCCAGCTCCACATTTTATTGATGTAATGTTACTTAGCATTATGAAAGAAGGTTGCAGTGTTCAACTGTTTACAGCGGCAACTGAAGATAGAAACATGGGGAATGGTGGGAGTATGTCAATTGTCATGTATTCTAAATTCATTCATGGTTTTGAAAGAAGAGTGTCAGCATAAACAATTGGTGGGTCTGGGGCCACAAAAGTTCTGAATTGAAGGATCTGGACAGAGTGGATCATCAAAATCTTTTCCATTAGTGCAAGAGTCCAGAAGCGGAGGACACTGCTCTATGGCAACTGGCAAAAGAATAAATGGTGACATGAAAAACTTTTTCAGACTGTGTCGTTAGAAGCTGGAATGCACTGCCTGAGACTGTAGATTCAATTGAGGCCTCCAAAACTAACTTAGATCATTACTTGGAGAGAAAAATACCTTTTGAGGGCTGGGCAAACCAAACTATTTACTCTTTCAGAGAGCCAGCGTGGAAACAAGCCAAGTGGCCTTCCTCTATGTTGTAAACATTATATAAATGGAATTTAATGGTGATGACAGGGCTGTTGTCTGCGGGAGTACAGCATCACATCATTGGAGAAGGCATTCTAGACGTAGGTACCCATTAGATGCTGAACTAGGCAGTGTTTGGATTTTCCGTCTTGATACTAGGTTCCCCAATCAAGCACTGTGATTTTCCCAACCCACTTCACCCCAGGAAGTCAGCAAATAAACCCAAAAGACTTCACTTAGTATCTGGGTGGAAAGCCTAGCCTTAATCAGATACAGGCAGGCAGGTGGCTGATTTCCCAGCCAGCACCCTTCAACCCAATTAAATGGATCCTCAAACTCACTGCCATGTAGAACATTAAATTCCAATCTAAAGTTTTGATTAAATGCTGAGGGGGTTGAAAAGAGGAAGAAGTAGCATTACCGACTTAAAATAGGGGAGATGATGGTAAGGGACTGATTAATGAAGAACTCCAGTATGCAAACTTTTGGAAGATTTTAGAAATTATAATTTTTAAAGATTTAGCAGAATACTTTTTTTAAACAAAGTCTAACATTTTTCAGTTGATAACTCCGAAACTAACCACCCTTCAAATGTATCCCTGGCTGATAGTGAGCATTAAGCATGTTTATAATGTTTAAGTACAAATTTCCCACTTTGTATAGATCACTGAATCAGTGCACTACCAACAGTTCACTTTGTGCTTTAGAAGGAGTATATGTACTCTGAAAATTCTGGTTGGCCTAGAGGAGCCCCACAAATGTTGGGAGAGTAGAATCAAATGGGAGGGAGGAAGGATATGTTGGCTCAAAGAGCTGAGCAGAGGGTCTGTCAATACTAGTGCAGCGAGGCAGCAAGATATTTCAGTGGGAAAGACCAGAGATAGTCTTGTCCGAGAGACGTTTTTCACAGCCCTTGGGTGGCACGATGGATGACGTCAGCACTTTTGCAGATGCGAACCAACTGGAGAAATGTTTATGTGAACGGGGCAAAGCATCATTTTTGATCAGCAATTCAAATTTGGCAGTGTCACGTTTGCTGCCTGTTGGGCCCTATCCAAGATTCAGTTCCATTGCGTGTACCCCAGAAGGCAAAACGAACACATCTGCTATCCACAGTGCTGGTACAGCTGTAATTTAAATAGAAAATACCTAGTAACTAATATCAGTGCTAATCAATGTAGATTGACCAAGTGAGGACAAAACCATGAATGGATTTAGAATACATGACAATTGACATCAGTGATCTAGGAATAAGTTGGACACCAAAGACAGTGGTGATAGGTGGCTGGGTGGGCAGCATGCAAACGAAATTGCTGGATTGGATATTGATGAGGTAAAATTTTATGAAAATTGGCTGAGAACTTAGAATGACGAGCAAGGATTAGATTTTAGTGACAAAATAAACTGAAGTGGGCAGTGAAGGATTCTGAGGAAGGATCATTGGACCGAAACAAAAACTCTAATTTCTGTCCACAGACGCTGCCAAACCTGCTGAATTTTTCCAGCAATTTTGTTTTGTTGTTGACGTGAGGAGGAAATGCTTCAGAGACGGAAGTGATGTTTTGTGTTGGAGAGGATGTTGGCTTGCAAGCTTAAGCTCCACTCGAGATTGAACAAGGACAGGGGAATGAAATGTGGAATTTGTGGTTGGGCTGAAATCTATCGCTACAGTTATCCCATTGTTCAGTAAAGGAAATTGGTTTGTCCAAGAATGAAATTTGGAAGATTGGGAGTAGTTGTGGAGGAAATGGATGTTTGCTGTTAATACCCACCTGGGTCTGTCTGTGAATGTTGCTGCTGAAGGGTAACAGCCAAACAAGGTGGATGTAGGGATGGATCTCTGTGTGATTCTAGAGGTAATGGAACAGGGTTAGGAAGCTTTTTCTGGAGATGTTTGAGCTGGATATTGAAGGAGAGGTAGAGGAGGAAGGTAATGTGGTTTGGTCTGTTGAAGGCTGAAGGGGAGTACAAAGGGTTTATTTGTGATTTTTAATTAGTGCTTGGGAGAAGTGGAAACCTGATTAGAGGGTTCAGCCAGAAAGTTGCAGCAGCAATGGGCAATGATTTAAGAAATACATGAGGACTTTGAAGAGGCAAGTCAGGATCAGAGTTTGACTGGGTGTGGAATTTCTGGCAGGTATGAAATGATGATTTCAGTTTTGAAATGGATAGAAGAGTGAACCATTCACGATATTAACTAATGTGTTGCCAGTGATTTTGCTGACTGCTTCTTTATTTTTTTTTAACAGGGCCTAATCTTTCGATTCAAATTCTTGATGCTTGTCACGTTGACATGTGCTGCCATGACTATTGTGTTCTTCATTATAAGCCAGGTAAACGATAACCCATAAAGTAAACCTGTTGTTCAAATACTGTATATTTCTAACTCTGTTTTAATGTTGAGTAAATGAAAACAGGATGCATGGCGATACCTGCATATTAATGAGCAGCCAGCATTTGAACCAGCTGTGAGAAACTAGGTGGAGTTGCTGTTAAAATGGACAGGCTTGGAAACTGCTTATCTGCCAGATCTGATTGACTGACTTCAACACTAAATCATGGGCTACAAGGATTACTCTTCCAAGCCAACATTTTTCTCTTTTAAATATGCATCTTGGGGTTCAAGTACCTCACCAGGGATTTCAACCTGAGGTATGCTTGGCTTTCTCACCAGATCAGAGCTGCCTGAAGCTGGATTGATGGTCAGAAGGGGCCAACACAGGTTAAAGCAAACTAAGTTCCTTTATTGAACAAAAATGCTCCTCTTTGCCCCAAGATCAAAGCTTGGCCCTCATTTGCCATTTTCCCACTTGCGTGATCATATTTGGAGGCATCCCACCTTTTGCTGGGGGAAAGAAGTTGTGTTAAGTTCTTCCTTTTTTTTAAGACCACAGGAGATAGGAGCAGAGGTAGGCCATTCAGCCTTTTGAAACTGCTTCACCATATAATGAGATCATGGCTGATTTGATAATCCTGAACTCCACTTTCCTGCCGCCTTCTCCCCTAATCCTTGATTCCTTCATTGATTAAGCATATTCAAGACTGAGAGATTTTTAATGACCCAACCTCAAGAGACTTCTGTGGTAAAGAATTCCATAGATTTACAACCCTCTGAGAAAATAAATTCCTTCTCATCTATGTTTCAAATGGATGACCCCTTATTCTGAGATTATGCCGTCTGCTCCTAGAATCTCCCACGAGGGGGAAACAATCTTTCCATATCTTAGTCAGTTTTCAAGATCAGCCTGCACAGGATTACTGCTGTGCAGGCTAAGTTGGCATGAATTCTGATTGGAAACTGGAGGGGGTTACAGTATCTTTTAATAATCTGTACTATGAGATTCTCAACTCTCCATAGGCTTTTATGAGTGTTAAAGAACTATAGTGACAGTAGAAAATCTTAAGTAATTGTATTTTCTGGTAGAATAGAAAAGGCTGAGCAGATTTGATAAGAGATTTTTAAAGTTTTGAGGTCACGCAGGGAAAGAAGTTATTTCCTCCACACGGATTTGGAGTTGACAGGTCATCAATTTAATCTAACACAACAATTGCTGGAGAAACTCAGCAGGTCTGGCAGCACCTGTGGAGAAAAAGTAGAATTTCTATTTCAAGACCACTGACCCTTTGCTAGAGCTGGTCCTGATTCTGAGGGAGGGCCACTGGACTCGAAATGTCAACTGTTTTTTCTCTTTCCACGGATGCTGCAAGATCTGCCGAGTTTCTCTAGCATTTCCTGCTTTTGTTTCAGATCTCCAGCATCCGCAGTTCTTTGTTTTACTTTATTCATCAATTTAATACTGTTAATGAGTGGGAAAAAATATAAATAAACATCATCTTTTATCCAGAAAATTGTTGGAACATGGGTTAATTTGCCACAGAAGACCATTGCATCAGCTAAGGATAGCTACATCTTTGAGAGAGAGAATATTGTGGGCCAAACAGTATTGTTAGATTTGGATTAATGAAGTAAAAAGCTGGCATGGATGAGCTGGACCAAATAGCCTCTGTCCGTGCTGTATATTTGCATTTTTTGTCAGTATTTCAATAAAACTTTAATGTTAGATGCTGTCCCTGATTTTTTAAAAAAAATTTTATTGGCTTTTCCTGTACCAGTCGTTCTTCTTATTTCTAGAGCTTAAGACACTTTCACCTTAATGATGTTCTAACTAATTTGAGTTGCTCAGTTGCTTTCATTTTAGTGATCATAGCCTAATAGTTTCCCATCAGGGATTGATTTAACCAGTTCATTCCAGGAATTTGTTTATTTAAAGTGGTAAAGCAAATTGTCAAATAAAGAGACCTAGGTGTGCAGATACATAGTTCCCTGAAAGTGGCATCCCAGGTAGACAGAGTGGTGAAGAAGGCATTTAGCTTGCTTGCCTTCATTGGTCAGAGCATTGAGTACAGGAGTTGGGATGTCATGTTATGACTGTACAAGACATTGGTGATGCTGCTTTTGCCCTGGTACAGAAAAGGTTTACACAGATTTTACCAGGACTAGAGGGTTTGATATATAAGAGGCTGGATAGGCTGGGACTTTTTTCCCTGGAACGTAGGAAGTTGAGGGTTGACCTTATACCAGTTTATAAAATCATGGGGGTCATAGGTAATGTAAATAGCTAATGTCTTTTCCTGAGGGTAGGGGAATCCAAACTAGAGGACATAGGTTTAAGGTGAGAGGGGAAAGACTTACAAGGGACCTGAGGTGCAATTTTTTTCACACGGAACGTAGTGCATATATGGAATGAACTGCCAGAGGAGGTAGTGGGTGCAGGTACAGTTACAACATTTTAAAAAAGCATTTGGGTAGGTACATGAACAGGGAAGGTTTAGAAGTATGAAGTATTAGAAGCCAAATGCAGATAAAATGTGACTAGTTTAGTTTGGGAAACCTGGTTGGCATGGATGAGTTCGACCGAAGGGTCTGTTTCCATGCTGTATGACTCTTTGACTTTAATACAAGTTGTGAAGCAGACATTACAGCAATCCAACAGATTTCCTGGGTGTGCAGTTTGCAGACACAAAACAGGTGAACAGCCAGGCAGAGTCACAACATTTGTATGCACACAGCACATGGAGCCCTCTAAAGGTGAACTCTATTTTAAGGGCTAGATACAAATAGAACAGTTACCGTTCCATGTGACTTGGAGTGGTTTCATTCTGATAGTTATCTGAGCAGCGTATGTAAACAAACTATACTTTTGACTTGAAATTAAAGCAGAAGGCAAGTAAATAATGTAAAATAAAAGCAAAGTACCATTGACGCCAGATATCCAAAGAGTCCTAATGGACTCAACATTAACTTTGTTTCTTATTTTATAAATGGTGTCAGGCTGCTGCGTTTCTCCAGCACTTTGTTTTTATTTCAGACAAATAACATACACCATCACATTTGACTTTTATCATGCCATGTGTTCATGTGTACTTAAACACAATTTAAAGTAGTTGTCACTGGGTGTCCTTTAAGACCAAATGGTAAAGAATTTCAGCCAACTTTAATTCTCTAGCTGAACATGAAATCTGGATACCATCTGCAGTAAATAGTAGCCAAATGCTAACTTAGAACCTGCCATAAGGAGGCAGGTACAGAATGATAATTTTGATTCTTAGTGTGGAACCAAACTGCACAAAATGAAGTTTTGTAATGTACCAACTGAGTCATCAGGGTGAATCGTCAGCCAATGAATATTCAACTGTACTTTTGTAGTCACTCATGTTTGACCCTATTGTTATAACAAGGTGTAGAGCTGGATGAACACAACAGGCCAAGCAGCATCAGAGGAGCAGGAAAGCTGACGTTTCAGGCCAATTTTTCTGAAAAAGGGTCTAGGCCCGATACAACAAGGTGCAGGGCTGGATGAACACAGCAGGCCAAGCAGCATCATAGGAGCAGAGAGGCTGACGTTTCGGGCCTAGACCCTTCATCAGAAAAGGGGGAGGGGAAGGGGGTTTTGAAATAAATAGGGAGAGAGTGGGAGGCGGATAGAAGAGGGATAGAGGAGAGGATAGGTGGAGAGGAAACAAACAGATCGAAGAGGCGGGGATGGGGCCAGGAAAGGTGAGTGTAGGTAGGGAG